GGCGAGCAGCCCCCCCCGGGCTGGCCCCCGGGGGGGAACACCCAGCCCCTCAGCCCGGGTCGGGGTGGCAGTGGCGGCGGGGAGGCTGCCTGTGGGCACCGGACCTCATCTGCTCTGACTTTCCCTTTTCCCACCCTTTGCATTTCCTGCTGCCTTGGGAGAGAAGTGAACTTTTGTTCTAATTTTACTCGGGAGTTTGTAGGAAGATCAGCCATGGGTTCTTGGTGTGCAGCCAGCAAACACCCATGGAGACATGCTCAAAAGTTCGGAGGCATCCTCCAGCCCAGACACCTGGCCCGTGCGTGCTGCGGCATGGCTGCTGCCAGAAAGCTGCTGGCATCTCCTCATGGCTTGTTTGACGACTCCTTGCCGCAAGGAAAAGGGGAGCTCAGGCAGCTATGCAGATGCCCCCCTACCACACACCTACATCTCTTGGGGGAGCAGGGCCCCGAGCCAGGCACCCCCTCCGGCAGCACAGTGTGGGCAGCTGCACCCGAAAGCCAAAGCTGAAAGGTGGAGGGCGTTTGGCGGGTGGCCTCCATTCAGAGACGTCCTCCTCGGCTTTCTCTAAAGCATGAACCGGCTCCGACCTCGGCCCTAGCAGAAACGCAGTCGCAGTTACAGGACAGAGGGGCAGCTGACGCTCGCCTGCACGTTGCCAGGAGCTCGGCCTCTGCAGAGGCTTTGCTCGCCAGGAGGACGGAGCATTAACATTGCTGTTCATTTACCGCTGAGCTCGAACAGCCCTTCTCTGCTGCGAGGGGTCTGTAGCTTCAGTCGTGGGAGCAGGGGGTGCCCAGGAGGCCAGCGGGGACCCTCACACTGGGGGCTTGTGCTTGTTTTGTGCCCTTTCAAGGCTGGCTGGGTCCGGCAGCAGCCATGCTGTGCATGCCCGGGGACAGCCTGGAGAGCTGCAGGGCTCTGCGCCCGCCCCACTGTCAGCCCCACCATCCACGTCCACCACGGCGCAGCTGGCAATGGCCAGAAAGCATGAGCGACAGTCTCCAAACCGGCAGTCAAGGACGTCCAGAGGTCACCTCACCAACTCTCCTGTCCCAGGGAGCCTCGGCTGCACCCAAACGTTTCCAGACGAATGCCATCGGGGCCTCTCCCCAGCCACAGTGGGTGAGGAGGGGTCAGTACCCCTCCCAGCCCGCACCGTGCCATCTCCTGGAAACCCGCAG